GACCCAGTTGTCCAAGTGATTAAGATGATCAACTCTTTCATCTGAAGAAAATGATTAAGAAGAAAAATTACCAAATATAATGAAATAAAAACTAAAAAAGATCGAAGATTTCAAAGCATACATTGTCATCTTTATCAAGTTTCTTGTATTGCAGAGAAGTTCTTTAGAGATGATTTTTTTTTTCCTTTTGTTGTTTAACAAAATGGCTATGAAAAATCAAAAGGAAGAGAAAAAAAGATATATATAAGGGAAGACGAAAGACTAATAATGCATGCTAATGGGTCTAGAAAAGCTGATAGCCAACTTCTCATATGGTTCATTAAAAATAATCAAACTTAAATACGTACCAATCTATCATCGCCAGGTCCATCGTAACCAGTCATGCGGGGAACTCGATGGCAGCCCGTGAAGTACGCTCCAGATGGCAGCACATGAAAACAAAAATGTAGATAAACATTCATGAAAAAACGTAACAATCCAAGAAGAATAATTTAATGCAGTCACCTCCAACAATTCGAGAAGAGAGTTTTTCAGAATACCTAAGGAAATTTTCTCGAGAGCAGGGTTCGCCGGAACGGCCGGAACGGCCGTCCCAGAACGGGAACGGTGACCGCCGTTCCGGATTCCCTAACAAAACTGTTCTGCCCTCCCCGACGCAGCGGACCACCGTTACGGCCGAGACTTAGCCGGGAAACGGCACCGCAACGGTTCCGGAACGGAAAAATAATAATAAATTTTTTTTTTTGGTAAGAACGAGACCCTTGACGGAAGAAAATTTGAAAAAAAAAAAGAAAAGGGAAAATTGGGAACGGATATTTGGTAAAAGAAGAGTTTAAATTATTTTTTAAATTTTAAAAAAAGAATTTAAATTAAAAAAGAGACCCCACTAATCTCTATAATCCCTCTAATTTCCTATTAATAGGAGAAAGTAGTAATAACTAAAACATGACTATAATTTATGTATTTAAGGAAAGGAAAATAGCAATCATACATATATTATTTTTACAAAAAATAACAAATAAAATTGAAGACTATGATTCTTCAAAAATGGAAAATAAATATCAAAATAGAAATAATAAATAAATATAGAAAATTTTAATATATATATAAAATGAAAATTTTATTTAACTTTTTTTGTTTTCAATATTCTGTTACTTAAATATAATTATTTTAATTTAAAATTAATTCGTCACATAATATGTTTTACTACAGATCATAAATATAAATATTGCATGTATTTTATAATGTTAATGCAAGGTTGTTGTAATATTTTTTTTTATAATTTTTAATAATTTTAACATATTATTTTATTGTAATGTTGGTATTAAAAATATATTTGAAATAAAATATATTTTTTAGGATTTTAATTAAAAAAATCTGTTCCGGCCGCGACGGAACCGCGACGTGGTAATGGAACTGGAACGGCAGTGTCCGCGACAACCGACTGTTCTGTGCCGGCGAACCATGCTCGAGAGAGAGGGAGTAATAAAGAGAGATCGAAGTCCATATGAATTGTAAATGTAAAAAACAAAGTTATGGACGTCATATTTGCCTCTTACCGGTCACATTCAAAAATTTCTTTTTTTTCTTGAAAACATGATGTCGCTCGTCATGAGCGCATTTGCCTCTTATGAATCACATTCGGAGAAACAATCTGAAAAATTGACAGACATACAATTCAAATTCTAGCAAACATCAAACAAAAAACTCACATATAGACAGTTATGTTCAACGATTTACAAAGCAAGAAACTTATCACATCAATAAATCTTTCGAATGACTTACAAAAACTAATCAAAGAATATTTTTTTACAAAAATATTCCTATGTTACAAAAAATTCCCCAATTTACAAAAATATTCCTATGTTACAAAAATATCCCTGTGTAATTCTCAATTGCTAAAAAATTTCTATGTTACAAAAATTAGCAAAAACTCCCCTTTGATTAAAAGCCAGGGGCAAAAAAGTCCCTTAGAGCTGCGCGTGTACTCGCGCGCGCGGTTCTTTTTGTAAATTGTGGGGTAAAATGATACAAACACCCTCTTATACATAGATGTATGTTAAATTTGACATATTTATAAATAATTCAAATTCAAAGAACCAAATAACAATTTTGAAAATCTTAAAATTCTGATCATCTTTTTTCTCCCCCTTGGGGTAAAACAATTCCATCACCTTTGAAAAGAAATAATCTTTCGCCGTCTGAAACCCGACGGAAGACAAAGGAGCTTCACATGAATTCAAAGAATGGAGATGTGTTGGAGCTCGTCGGCAGAGTCCAAGTAGGTGAGCAGCTCACCGGAAAATTATGGTTCTCTGAAACGGGCTTCTCTCTCCGACCACCCTAGTGGGATGTGCTTTCTTTATCAAGGGGGCAATGCCGCTAAAATGTGGGCACGACATCGACGATCCCATGTCCATGTAAAAGGTGGTGAACGTGATATATTTTTTAATGGATGAAAATGATTTAAATTTAAAATTATATAATCAGGGGTATTTTGGAAATAGAAAATGGGATATGTTTATTTGCGAAACTATTTTTGGTTTGGATATATGTGCATTTAAGTGGGATAATTACAGTTGTGGACCATATATTATACACATTTGTTCGATCCTTCAATTTTTCCTGACACGAAATTGATCCTCAAGTAACCATTTTTTTTTACAATTTTCGTCGACCGTGTGAAACTGCTGTTAGTTTGGACGAAAAAATCACGTGCAATGCACATCTACCCCTTCTTTTTATATATATTGTTTATTTAGTCCCAATATCACTTCATTTGTACAATTTCGTCCAAATAAAATTAATTTCGATAAACCAGCTAAAAATGTGAATGACAAAAATAAGGATAATTGCACTTGTGGTTCTATATTATACACCAAAATTGATTTTAGTCCTTATATTCTTCTTGTCACGATTTTAGTCCTCATATAAATATTTTCTTATACTTTCAATCTGCCGTTTAATTTTAGAGTTAATTTGGATGGAAAAAACACGTCTGGAGCACGTGACAATGAACTTCAACCCCCATTTTTACATATATTATTTATTTAGCCCCAATACCACATTATTCTTACAATTTCGTCCAAATAAAATAAAATTCGAATAAATCTACTGAAGAGGTGAATGACAAAAATACCCTATGAGGGGTTTTAGCAATTTACATTATATTTATTCACAAATACTATTTATTTCTTAATTTTATATTTTTAATCCAAAACACTATAATTAATTTGATTATACCAAATTTTGTTAGATAATTATATTGTTTTAAAATTTATAAATATTATTTATTTAGAAAGTATTAAAAATAAAATAAAAAATATTTAAAAGAGAATTAAACATATATTGTCATTTAAGAAAAAATGTTTTTAGTTGCGCATAGCCGCATACAATGAAATCGGTCTTGAAATCGGCGACGTCGGTAACCGCACAACTTACGAAGACTACATATCCTTCGCCATAACCACATAGAAACCACCATCACCGACACCCAATGGGTTCAATAAATTACCGCCGCACATGGCAGAACTCCTGTAGTGGTGTCCAGATTTTGTTTACAAAATAAAGATAATTTTTTCAATTTTTATTGTGCTTTTTGGACCAGGCAAGAACAAGAAATAATCTCTATTTCTTTCGTCTTTATCTGAATATTTACAGATATTGAATAAAAAAAACAAAAAGAAGAAGAAGAGGAAGAAGACTGACATTGGGAAGAAGGAGCATGTGAGAAAAAAAATTACAAATTCAATTATAAAGTTCACTTTTTGGACAAATTTGTAACAACAAAGTAAAATTTGGGCTAATTAAAAAATATAGTTAGAGAAGGGGTCTAAAGATGTTCTTTCAGCATTATTACGTACAAAACACGTGATATTTTCATCCAATTTAACACCAAAATCAAACAGCAAACCAAAATTGTTAAAAATTGGTTAGTTCGAGGACTAAAATCGTCCCAAGAAAAATATAAAGACTAAATCAATTTTGTATATAATATAGGGACAAAAAATATAATTATCCTGAAAAAAAATATTGTTTCGGAAATATTATAATTTCGGAAATATTGTTTTAGTTGTTCAAAACAAATGTATAAGATAGGGATCAAAACTGCAATTATCCGCATTTAAGTCCTCCTTAAAGTTATATGCGATTCACCGGCCTTGAATTTGAATATATGTAATCACAGATCGAGTGATATGTGCAAATCAGATTAAAATGGCAGAATGATTGGATTCATTCAATTTAGAAAGGGTTTGTGTTTATTTGTAATATATACATTATCTTGCTACTACTATATATATGAAAACACGTAACGTACAATTATGAATTTACTATCTATATAAGTCAAATACATCTTCATAATGATATTTAATTAATTAATTTTGATTTTGATTTTTTGAAATCTTTCCGTATATTGTAAACATCTAATGAATAGAGCCAGTTGAAAGATCATGCATATATATATATATATATATATATATATATATATATATATATATATATATATATATATATATATATATATATGCAACATGTTTCCTATTTTAATTAATTAACTCGATCTTGCATATATAAAAATACACAGCAGAGTGATCTGAGCGGACACACTCATTTTTAATTAATTAACTCGCTCTTGCATTTATAATTAATATGAACATGTTTTCTATTTACATCTATGGAAACACGTAACAAGTCAACGCACTCCAATTTTATTATTTTTGATTTTCGTGTGTGTGTATATATATATATATATATATATATATATATATATATATATATATATATATATATATATATATATATATATATATATATATATATATATATATTGCAGTATAATAAGATGCTGCTGTGCATAAATCAACACCGGTCAAATTCATGGCATTGTATGTGAAACCCTTGTGGCATAATAATATATTTCTTCTGCTGCCCACAAAATTATCAAAATTATTATTAATTTTGATATTTTGTTTGATTTCTTTGAGTGATACAATTACTAGTAAGAATAACAAAATTGATAATGTTGGTGGTGGAATAACTGCTGATTTGATCCATGTAGATTCTCCTCTTTCCCCTTTCTACGATCCCTCGTTGACCCGATTCCAGCGTGTCACAGACTCACTCCGTCACTCTCTCTTACGTCATCGTTCGATTCGGTCAAACGATTTGAAATCGTCATCGCTGACGTCACCAGCACCCGAGGCATCTCTCGCCCCTGTTTCGGGCTACTACCTCATGAAAATTCAATTGGGGAATCCACCAATTGATTTATTAGGAATTGCCGACACGGGCAGCGATCTGACGTGGACGCAGTGCGCACCTTGCTCCGATTGCTACAAGCAAAAAACCCCGATTTTCGACCCCAAAAAGAGCAAAACGTACGACACCGTTTCGTGCAAATCCCAAGAATGCCAATCGTTGAGGTACGAGCATCCGTCTTGCGACAATGCAACTGATGGCTGTCATTACGAATTAACTTATGCCGGTGGGTCCTACACCTCCGGAGACCTAGCGACGGAAACATTGACGTTCGATCAAAATTTGTCGTTTCCTAAAGTCGCGTTTGGCTGTGGTCACCACAACTATGGTGATAATCTCGGAACATCCTCTGGGATAGTCGGCCTCGGTGGGGGGCCGGTTTCGATAATCAGACAGTTAAAGAAATATTATTCAATCGACGCCAAAATCTCTTATTGTTTGCCGCCTCCTAATTCCAACGTGTCGAGCAAGATAAATTTCGGGAGCAACGCAGTTGTTTCGGGGCCTAAAGTAATGTCAACACCCTTAGTGAAGAGGGAGCATGATACATTCCACTATGTTACTTTCGATGGAATTAGTATCGGAAATAACAAGTTGTCGTTCAAATCCAAAAAAACAGTAACGGTGGAAGAGGGGAATATGTTTATCGACACCGGCAGCACATATACGTTCTTGTCGGATCAATTTTATTTTAAATTCCTATTTGCATTGGAGAAAGCACTAAATGGTACTCCTACGGCTAATCCAGAAGGAGGCTTCGAAGTATGCTACGAAAAACCCGTAAACGGAAAATTCAATTCTCCGACAATAACGTCACATTTTAGAGGGGGCGTTGACTTGGTCTTGTCGCCGGAGGGCATCTTTGTGGAGGCGAATAAAGGAGTGGTTTGTTTGGCTATTTTGCCAAGTTATTCAACTGATTTGTTGGTTTTTGGAAATTCACAGATGATTAATTATCTGATTGGAATTGATCTTGAGAATCAAAAGGTTGATTTCTTGCCAACTAACGATTGCACCAACCCCAATTAGTTTGTCAAAACAATGTCATATTTGACAAGATATGTAATCTTGAATATTTTCATCATCTATTTTATGTTATAATTTTATCATCAAATTATAATTCTATAGCTTCCCATTTCTATTATTTTTTTATAAAAAAATATTTAAGCTCTTTGATCTACGATTCGTTACGATTTACGATTTATAAATTTAACAAAAAAAATTATCGATTCGATTTGCTAATTAACAACATTGGTTCTGTAATTAGTGAAACATTAAAAAAAAAAAAGTAGTTTAAGACACTATTTGATTGCACTTATTTAGCCGCTTAATAGACAATCTATATATGATATAAAAAGAAGATATGCGCCCTCAATGATTGATATGTGGCAAATGATGATGTCATTTATCAAAATTGCTTAATTAGAGTTCAATTGATGAGGTGGATTCTTCAATTGGTGACTTGTCAATTTTATTTTGGCATGTATTTAAGTTATTTCCTATATATTTAACATTTATACACTCATTTAAACAATTACCACATGTATATATATATATTATTCAAAGTTAATATTTTATAAATTCGAAATAAAAAATCTTATTTATATTTTCAGTATTTCAAAATACATTTACTGAAAAAATCTATGATACTCAATTTTTTTACGAATATTCAAATAATTTTCAGAAAAAAATATTTTTTTTAATATTTAAATATTAAAATAAAGGAATACAATTGTTTTTTTTTTAGAATTTTCAATATTTTAGAATATTCGAATATCCATTCAATAAAAAAATTAGGATATATGTATAAAATGAATATATTAATAAATTAATATATATTTCATAATTTTTT